CCCGACATTAACAGGATGGCCTCGCAGGCACAGGCAGAGTAGTTCAAGTGGCTCGTGGCCTCTGAATTCAACAGCTACTCCAATCCCCAGAACTCCCCAGGGCCAGGAAAAACCAAAGCAAAACCAACCCCTCTAGCTTTCTAAGGTAACACTGTGTGTCTGCCACAGCTGACTTCTCTCAGACGTGTTTTAGGCCCTCTCAGTTTGCAGTTATGAAGCACCAACTGTTCAAAAAAACTTAAGTAGAAAATTCTTACTGTAAAATTCATACAACAACGTGAAGAACGGAGTGCTGTGGGTGTCGCTGATGCAATCAGAGCAAATCGCCTCCGGCGCTGATCTTGAGGGAGTCCGCTTCCTCTGCGCAAAAACAGCTGTGTCATCACAGGCCACTTACCAAGCGCTTTCTTCCGTTTGGCCTAGGAAGACACATTTTTTTCAAAACTCTTATCCAACTACCATGAAATAATATTACACGCCACTTTGCTGTAGAAAAAAAGCCCACACTGGATAGATGCTTTTTTTAAATGAAGGGATTTCTCACACAGCTTCAAAAATAAGCGTGCTACTGGCAGAAGAAGTGATACTTAAGTTCCAGGGTCGATTTCATACCACATGCAAAACATGACATGCTGCAGTCTTTTTAACATAAACGCTGCACCCTGCTTTTTTTGAACTCTTGTCTTTTTGTTTCATGAAATTCACACAGCCTTTCACTGAAATCAGTAAGCGGAAACTAACGGGGGAGGCAAATGAAAGACTTCTAACTCTATTTTCAAATAGTTAATAAAAAGTATGTGCTGAGACCATTTCAAAATTAATTGCCCGTGTGGCATTTTAAGGTTTGAGCAGACAAAATAAGATACCATCTTACTAGTTATCGCCAATCTTTATCTCCAATCAAAACTTTTTTTTAAATAAAAGCTTTTCTCAGCCACTTCATTATTTTCACATGCATCCCAAGGGTATCTTCGACAGGGGAAAAAAGAAAAAAGTTCTAAGCCCACTTTTGAGAAAACAGCTTACTTCTGTAGGTACAGAGCTGTTGTTCTGTCTTGGCTTTTGCTACAATTGCCTCTCTTTAGTCTAGAGACACTAACAATCCATTCCCATTTTAATACAAAACAGAAAAACACGTCAGAAAGTTATTTACTTGACTTCCTCATTGTGAGCAGTTTGCAGGTTGTTGACAGGAAATGCTGCACACTTAAGCCAGATGTTCAATCCTGTACCCTGACAGGCACTGACTGTTGTGTCAGCTCCCTTCCCAACCCTCAAGATCCGTTAAAGAACCTTTTAGCAACAGGAGCAGCTCACAGGAATGCAGGGCAATGGTGTGAGCCCCTGGGATAGTGCTACACCTCTGTTACACCTTCTGATCCAATAGAGGATCCATGGTATTTCACCACAATACGAGGGAGGAGATCTTACCCAGAAGGAGTTTCAGCCTTCTGAAACGGAACATCAACACATTAGCACTCACTATGAGCAGGAGAGCCACTCTGAGACTATCCATACTCCCCAAATAAAGAAACAAAGTGTGCTCACTGAATGCTGTACTGGATTTAAAAACAGACTCCTTTCCCCAAAACACAGAGTCTGCTATGTCTGCTATAGCAATATATAAGGGAGAAATATTTCTGTTGTTATCCTAGAGGTTGGCTTATTAATGTTCAAAACCCTACACAAGATATTTGATTACTGTACGCATGGCATATTGGGTCAAAAGTGGAAGTAATCTGAAAATGACAAGACACCCTTTAAACAGCCCAGGAGCTAACCTGCCCCAAGTCATGTAGTTAAAACAAGCTTTTTCTAGTAAACAGTCTGAAGGAGGTATGGATCCGATATACCTGTATAAATCAGGCCTGAGCATGAAGCAGTTACACAAACGTAAGACTAGTGTAAAAGACACAAGCCAAGCTCAGAAGAAACATACAGAAGAACTTTCCACTAGTTAGAAGGTATTACATTTTGCACCCACAAGAGCCAGTCACCTCAGGGGCCTGGGGAATTTCCATGGCTGTCAATAATAGAATAGATACAGTGATAAGTAAAGGTACAGTTACAGAAGGAAAACACAGAAATGAGTATGTGGGAATTCCCAAAGATCTAAACCATAGTTTTTTAACGCATTGCACAGAAGTCATTTCAGACTAAACATGCTGTTCTCCGTTCATAATTTGATATATCTCTTTCTCTAGCTAGAAAGAGGTAGAGCTGAATAATTTTTTGATAGCGTGTCACCACGTTAGTTACCTCAAAAACAAACAAACAAAAAGGCCATCAGCAAGGGCTGAACAACTTTTCTCAGGACAATCTAGCTCGCTGCTGCACAGCTGGATCTCCTAAACCGGGGGCATTTTGTTTCAACGCCCTCTCTGGGCTTCGAGATTCCCTGCAGGAGATGTTACAGACCACAGACATAACAACTATTTTAATCAAAATTCTTCAGTAGCTGAACTTTTCACTGATTTGAGAGTGAACCCTTATACAGGCAGTGGGAACCAGTGGGAAAACATGTATTTCAGCAGCCAGTGCCATGGGAGAAAGCAGGCAGCATCCACAACACAAGCAGGCTCCTCACACATGCCAGGAATCCATCCTGCCAGTGGGTGATGAACGACAGGTCACGAAAGACCTTTCCAGTGGAGAGAATGACAAACTCACCAGGGAAGGCGGGCACAAACAGCTCTCAGGGATTAAACTGAACAAATACGTAACAAGATGCAAATGACAGGGCAGGGATTCACATCACCCAGTAACACTGTTTCTGCCTTCGCAGACAGTGATCCTCCCCAACTCTTCTCTCCTTTTCAAACAGCATCACTTTGATCTTGTCTGATTTCAGCTTAAGCCTGTAGGTCTTCAACTCACTGGCCTCACTTTCCTACCAACTTTCTGACTCCACTTTCTAGTGATGATACTTCTGCTGGCTGCAAACAAACACAGACTTGAGTGCCAGCATTGTTTTACTATAGCATTTGGCCTGCCCGCCAGGAGTCAAAGAAAACAGAAGACAGGTGAATAACTGTAGCTGAGGACCTTTGCAGAGGAGAGGAAATGGCTGCTCACTATTCTCCAAGCTCTGCTATCAGAAAAGGTAGAGAAAGAGGAAAAACAGAGCCCGAAAACTGTAGAGCCAAACAGTCCTAGGGGGCTTGCCTCAGTCCTACAGGGAGGGCCACAAGTATGTGCAAAGACTTATCAGCCAATCTCCCATAGGAGTCTGTGAATCATACTTTGCTCAAGACCACAGAATTGAGAGTGCGTTTTCTCCCTGATCACTGCACGAGCCACAGTGGGCATACAAATTCCTAGTATGGCTGCTTCCTGCAACGGCTTGCAACTATGATTCTTTTCGTAACTTATTCTTGATGGAATATTTCAATATGCATGAGGCAAAGGGGACGAAAACAGATCGTGTCAGTGCCAGAGTTCAAGGCCTGTAAGAACCAAAGCTCCTAATTCTCGTTGCTGTGCCTGGACATGGACAGAACAGCCGAATCCAACAGTGTGTCCAAGAACAGACTACAGGCATTCTTCTCTGCCACCAGTCCTTGTCTGTATGGCCACAATCACTTTCTTTTCTCATTATCCTCCCAATACATTAGCTCCTAACACATTTCCCCCTTCTTCCACCCCCACCTCACTTCCTTGACCTTTCTCTGGTCTTAGAAAAACACTGCAATACAGTCAGTAGCACAAACCAATGTTAAAAAAACTGATAAGGAAAACACTTAAGTTTTCATTGCAAGTATGCCTTTTGTACAAGCTAGAGATGCCTTCTGAGACATTAATGAAATTAACTGCAAATATTAACCTGGGTGCTTTCAGAGATAAGCCCTTTTACTTCTTTGCTCATTTGGACTTGCTTGATTTGCTTACCTGTTCATAGTAACTCATAAGCCTGACTATGAGGCAACAGTTCATTGGTACAAGAGAACTACTGCTTTAGAGGATTTTCACTGGCTTTTTTCTCTTTTAGTGGCTCTTCATGAGCAGGCAATAACACTGGCTGTGGAGATGAGTGGTCACAGCTTAATAGGTAGAACAAAACACCATGCAAGGCTGATGATGGGGGAAGTAATATGAAGAAAAAGAAATACTGCAGATGCACAAGTTCACCAATGACATTTTCTCAATCTTAGCCGTCATCTTCTAGTAAGTTTCTCCCAGAGGATGCAGTTACCCTGTTTAAGCTTCATTTCTGTACCATAAAACATTCACAAATCTAACTACTAACTTCATAGCAGGGCCTCATTTATGAAAACACTATAAGAAGGTAAATAAATTGATGCTAGATGTTTCATTAAATGGTTTACCAAATGTCAACCACAAAACTGCACCGTAACTAACAACACTTTCAGCAAATATTTGCCACAAACACCACACTCATTTACATAGTGGTTGTAACTTCTATTTACTATGTATGAAACCTGTATGAACAAAGCTGTAATTCTAGGAATGGACATTCTCCCTTTTACTTGGGAGGTGAAAAAGATTAAGCGGAGCAAAATGCAACTGCCGACACGTTGCCTGGAATTAAGGGGGGGGAAAAAAAAAGTCTCACACCAAGAACACAAGCATGATCGAGTGAAGAACCCCTGTATTATAGCTTAGACGTGATCTCCGAGAAATTTAATCTAAAACAAGCAGAAGTTAGGAAATGTCTCAGATCCATCCTTTACCTTGTTGTAAAGCTCAAAAAGGATGCAGCCTTTAGAATCCCACACAGCTCCCCTAAGCCACTACTCATTGCTGAAAGATGCAAGAAAAAAAATGAGCTTTACTCGCAGCAGCTGATACAACCATGAAAGTCCTGAATTTTAGCTCACTCTTCTCTACCATTTCTCCATTTGCTAAAGAAGGGATATCAATCTGCCACCTCCCAGGGTGACTGCCATAGAACACTTCAATGAGAGCAAAGATAACTTTTCCAGAAGAAGCAAGGTGTTTGTCATGCTGAACATGCCTCAGTCAACTCATCCGAGAAATACCACAGTGACAAGGGTGACAGAGAAACCAGGCGTATTTATTACAAAAAGCCCATGGCACCTAGAGTCAGTTGCCAGGAGGGGAAGCCATCTCAGAACTGTGGTTCTAAAGGAGTGAGACCTTCCTTCCACATGTCTGACAGTTATTCAATACAGACTGCCCTTAAGCGCGCCAAGAAAAAAAAAAAAACCACAATCAGAACCCATATTATCAAAAAAAACTTACAAATCTCAGTGCTTTTTAACTGAGTTAATTAATAACAGGAAGCAAATAAAACTTTGGAGGGAAAGAATCAGAGAAGTGCAGACTTGTATCATGATTGTTGTCATCACCACCTCTTTTTGGTCCTTCTTGGCAGAGACATTATTTTTTGTGAAGAATACAGCTTCCAGATAGCCCATGATTCACTGCTGATGTATCTGTTAAAACCTTACTTGGACTCCCTGGGAAGCGATCCTTGCACTCTGCATCTAATTGCTGTTTTCTTCAGATTTCAAGGATGTATTCTCTTAACAACACAGACTGAAAATAGTATTTCCACTGACATTTCCAACAACGCTTAAGAATCATACTGCTCGGAAATGCTTCCTCACTCGAAACAAGGACTGAACAGACTACACTGCTTCTGCAGGACAGGAAAGCAGGTCCGTACTTCTCCCCTGCTCTACTAGGCTGCTACAAACTCAGGTGCCAGGAGACTGAATAAGCATGGGAATCAGAAAATTGAGGCCACGCGGCCCCTTGCAGGATTGTGAACTAACTACATAGATGCAGATAATTCCTCTTGCAAATTCTCTTGAATTCCATGAGGAGACGCCTTCCAGAGTGATTCCTAATTGACCGTGTCCTTATTTTTCTAATTTTCAGTTGACTGGGACTGTGGAATTTGGAAGATCAACTGCTTCCTTAGGGTTGATGATATCTTTGGCATCTGCTTCCATCCATTTAGTACTGCTCTTCCCACTTCCTTGTTCACTTCTGTCAGGATGGTTACCAGGTCCTTGCGCCTTGAACAAACATGAAGAAAAGGTACATTGAAATACATGGTACTTTCAACTAGGCCAAGAAGTTGACCTATGTTTACTCCAATAACATGAGATCTTGGGGAATGTTGGTATCTTCCCGTCATCCTGTCTGTCACTGAAATTGCGCGCTCTGTTGTGTAATCACAGCATTCAGCATGTACTGGGGAATAAAGTAACCTCTGTGTAGAATCACTTTACAAACAAACACACTCCTTTACCTTGGTTATGGTCAAAAGACAGCACTAAGATGACACAGAAGCAAATTTATGCATTTTCCAAGCCGTCCGCTGGACTTCACGAGAAAGCGGTGCCTGGAGAGAAATGTTATTTTCTAAATCAAGTTTAGGGTTGGGAGGTGGACATGGGCGAGGAAACAGGGAAAAGTACGAATAAAGGGTACTAATTTTTTGCCTGTGTACTCAAGCAACAAATTTGCCTGTCATCAGGTGTCACTGGAAGAAAGATCCCTTGTCATTTTAAAGATACATTAAAACAACATGTTCACACTTGTTTTTATGTATTAAACACTTGTTTACACACTTGTTTTACATGCTTTTTATGTTTTACACACTTGACGATGTGTGTTCAAATATATAAACACAAACTTGCTTATATGTAATGTTCCAACATTACAATTCTGGTTCCGTAACAGACAAACTAGGTAAGTCACTTGAACTTTGCTTCATCTGTAGAAGAAAAATAACAGTGCCCACTTCCGGAATAATTACTAAGCAGACACTGCTCTGCAGGTGAAAAGCATTATATAGAGCAAATGCAAAACAGCCATGTTTCAGCACAGCATGCTTAAGTATGTATTTCAACAATACCCCAGTTGTACCTGGGTTAAAAACAGTACTTACAGCGGGCAAAGCAACTCCATTTTGTCACAGAGGCACTGAATGTAAATACTGCCTGTCTTTGCGTGGCGGTAGCACTCAAAGTCTTCCACAGTAGCCATGCCAACCAGAATATCAGCCTGGTCGGGAATGGAAACCAGAGGAACAGCGTCTGTCTCAAGATGGTCAGAAAAGTCTTCTTTTAATGTGACAGCTGGATGACCTACAGACCCTTGGCAAGCCTGGATGAAAAACAGCTTGGGTTTTCCAGCAAGAGAAGGACAGTTAGATCCACTAAAGCAAGAGAGCAAATCTTTAATATTTACAAACTCCCCATCAACGCCTTTTATTTTGTCTTTTTCACCATGTGAAAGGACGAAGCAAACAAAACAGTCCATTTTGCTATGATCTTTCTTGCTGTATTCTTTAACTTTTGCATACATTTGGTTTGCTTCTAGATCCATGTACTCAACTGTCTCAAATTGAAGCCACTTAAAGACTCTCTTCAGCGCCTCTGTAAAAAGAAAGTTGGAAGGCACTTGTTAAACATGAACAGTGATAAGGAAGATGAGGAAACTCCAGGCTCTGTGTGGTAGGATAGATACTGGCAGAAGCATTCAGATCCCACCAATAAACTCACCTGACTGACACTCAGCCTGCCAAGTTTTAAGAAAAATCAGGGATGCCTAATTTTTTTTTTTTTTTTTTTTAAACACAACAGAGGTGAACATCACACTGTCTAAAACAAAAGTGGATTTCAGATTATCTGATTAATCAGTACAATTTAGTGAAGCTTAGTGTGTTATGCAATGTGTTTAACCGTACGCTGCATAGCAATCTCAGATGCTTAAGAACAGCCCTTAGTTAGATAAAGAAGAAGTATTTCTTTAGCATGATAAATTCTGCCACTCTTAAATGATGTAGGTTCCTTATTATGTGAGAATGATCAGTGCAGAGAAAAGGAAAGGCCACTAACAAAGACAAGGTACCATGCAGACTTCTCAGCAACCGCTGACTTGGTGTTGTGTTGGCAGAGAGAAAACAGCTGGGAAACAAGAAGGCTGCAGACAGGTTAAGGTTAAAATGTTAGTGATGTATGCTTTTATAAGACAGATTTTAGTTTATCCAGATAAACAAATGACTCTCGCAGGAAGAAAGACTTAAGGAAAATGATAAAGCAATAGAATTGCATTTATTTGAGCACTGCTGCAAATAAATGCAATGCTGACTAGATCAGAATGCTTTCTCAGCTGATAGCATGGCAAAGCTACACCTTTCACTCAGTAAATTAAGCAAAGAAATCATTAAAGAGAATTTAAGGACTTAAAAAGTGTTACTTTATGATAGTTAAGAAGTAAAAAAAAAAAAAAAAATCAAAACCTGAGAAGACGGAATAGTAATCCCTCCTTCACTATTTGATATATACACAAACAATTAAGATGATACTCTTTTTTTTCAACCTTCCTTGAGCCATCACCGAAATTGTTGGAAGTGGCATATTTCCAATTTTTGCAGTGACTGTCACTCTAGTTACTTATTCTGGAAGCAAAGGAGCTTAGTCAAAGTGGCCGTTCTTCACAGGAAAGATTAGGCAATTCTTTCGGAGGGTAACACAAAAAACCAAACCAATAGTTGGATTTTAAAAAGTACTTACCTCCATCTTTCACTGTTCCTTTCCTCATGCCTTCAGGATTTTTAAAAATGTAGTTGTTAAGAATCACACAGTAACCATGGGGGTTATTTTCCATCCTATATGATTCCACAAGCTGTAGAAACACAGAAAGTAAGTAAGAAAGCAGTGCCAAACATCCAAGGGATGTATGCTCTGCAGAGATCTTTGCTCTTCCGTGCCCAAACACGAAAAAATCATGAGGGCCAAGATACAAAAAAGGAAAAGCCCAGACATACGAACCAGCCCTGGGTACAGGGGAAAAAATGCTGCTTCCTTTTCCTGAAATCCCTTCTCTCTCTCTGTGGCTGCAATTTGATTTTGGAATGGAAAGTGGATATCCTGAAACATGTGCAGAGGAAAGGTTCCTGCACCATACCATTTCCTCTCAGAATCTTGCTGAGTTTCTCGTTAGGCAACTGATGCTGCGGGTCCCTTCCCGTCTGTTCAGCTTGAGCTGGAAGAGGATGGGATACTCTTACTTTTGCCCATCCCAGTCTCTGTCATCTTTAAGGTTGTTTTTCTTCCTATGACAGCTACTCTTTCATTTCTTGTCTACAAGGTTGCAGGCAGCCAGGTCCTCACCAAGGGACAAGGCCTGGTCTTCTTTTGAAAATGAAAATCCTTCCAAAGCCTATATATGAAGCCAAGTCCTCTCCCTTTTACCCCTTCTCCCTTCAGTTTTAGGGATCTGTGCTCCCACGAGCTGGATGAACACTTCAAAGGCACTCTTGAGGCATTTCTCACCAGGCGTGCTTGTGTTCCCTCCTCTGCTCCTTGTCCTGCCGGATTCACAGACATGCATGTTGGATAGCAGAGCTTTTCCTCAGAAACATTCCCTAAGAGGAGGATAAACAGGACACCTTAGGAATAAAAGAATAAGTCTTCCACTTAGCATATTTCAACACCAAAAGAACAATGCAAGGAGTGAGGCAAGGGGTGGTTTTCACACCATTATTTTGCAGAGATTGTGTCAAGGAAGGTTCCATTTTTGCAAACTGCTGGAGAGTGAAACTGCGCAGAGCGTTCCTTGGAACAAAACATACATTTGTGTTAGACTGCTACATCCCATTGCAAATACTGCCAAAATTACAGCCATTAGGTAAAAATGAACTTCCAGCCCCCAGGCACAGCCAGATGCTTGAGACTGGAAGACAGTGTGCGCTGCATTCCCACAATAATCGTATCGCATTCCAGTCCTTCCCTGCCCTTCGGCTGGCAGCAAGATCCAGGAAATCTAAGTCGGGATACGAGCACTCACCCCAGGCAGGCCATTCACTGGCATCCGCACTACAGGATACAGAAGTGAAAAAGACGACCTATTTTTGTACAGTGATACAGCTCAGTGATACACTCAGCTCATTCACTTCTGAGGCCGTCACCTCGTCTCCAATGCATTTTAATTGCTTGGGTGGACAAACCAATGAGGCAGAACATCAACATAATGGAAGACTTCCTCAAAACAACAAAATGCTGCCTTGAATACAACTGCCTGAAACAAGTGAATAAACTCTCACACCCAAGACTACACTCAAGGAGATAAATCACAATACCCCTTTTACAAGTCAGTTATATAGATGAGTTTAAATGAAATTTGGTTGTAAAGGCCGTAAGTGCTCTTTTCGTACTTATCAAGGGGGACAAAATAGTAACAATACTACTAATAAAATACTCTCCTGGCAGAGGGGTTGCCTAGACCCCTCTAAACATCCTTAGTAATTCTTTGGCTCTTGCGGAGAGACAAGCACACCTCAGCAGCACAAGGACATGCCCTGGAGCGACTAGTCCATATCTCCACAGGTTAACTGCCCAGCTGTACAGGTATGTCTAAGGAAACACACCATACTGAGTCAACTGAAAGGAGGCTCCGGGGAAAAAATTAACAGGTCTCAGTTGTTTGTGGTTGACGCTCCCTGTTTCCCAAAGTCTAAGCCCATCTGTGGCGTCAAAAGTCACCACCTCAGCTGCAGATAAACCAAAGTTCTTGAAATTTCACATTCGGTACAGAAAGCGAATGGTTAAATTTTAGCCAAGTACCTGGTCTCCACTAACTTTTCTGTCTGCTAAGAGCAAGCAGCCTGGCTAACAGAAAGCAATGCTGACAACCTCCCAACACAAGGCTGGTTCCCCAAAGGCAATTGCCTGTCACCTCTGTTCTCTTTTAGTGACTGAAAAGCTAGACTGGTCCAAAAACAGCACTATGCTGTTTCTTGAGGAGGAAGACTGCATTTAAGGCAAAGAGGAGGGAGATCCAGATCATTTACAAGGCACAGAATATATTTCAGGGAGAGGTTCAAGAAGATATAACGGGATAGCGAAGTATCAGACAATTTAGGAAATCACAGCTACCAAGAGCCGCTATGCCTGTCCTAGGATACTGTAAAGTCTCTCTCTTAACTCTGGACTCCTCAGCTCCCAAGGACTGAGCCCAGAAATGACAAAACCCAGCTCTATGCTAAATCAGCAGATTATATAATTTACCTTTTGTTTCTTCTTCATAGGTATCGATTTTTTTCTTTAGGTCAGCTCTAAATCCCTTTAATATATCCTTCAGCGTCGTCACATCATCTTCTTTAATTACTCCATTTCTTTCCATTTCCAGTAAGACCGTCAACATTGGCTGGTAAAACAAAAACATACAACCCAAACACACACATGACCTTCAACGACTGCATCAAGTAACACTCCAAATATCTGGCACTTCTGGACAGCGCAGAAGACAACATCCTCGTTTCCAGAGACTGGTCATCTAAAAATCAGTTTCTTTTTCCTCCAAACTTCATTGGGACTGAAGAAAGAAATCAGTTAGTTAAGACAGGATCTTTAGAAATTGCCTATACTTGGCTTATCCTGCTTGGTTTCAACAATGTAAACCAGTGATGTGGATAATAATGTGGCAATCCTGTTAAGTGCCACTGCATTCAGATAAACTATTATAAACCATTTAGCTGAAGTGTTATACATATTCTAATACAGAAGAGGCCTTCAGGAATAATATTCATTTTTAAAGCTGATTAGTCCACTAAATTGGAAGTAAATCTGCCATTTTTCCTATAGGTACCGCAACACAAATAGGACTTCTTAACAAATAGGAAGCTTCTTAACAGTATCAAGCATTTCTGTAACACTGATCATTATTGTCAAGGCAGGCATTCAACTAGCTTACCAAACCTCTTAGTACTTTTGAGGGGAAGTTAACAAAAGCGCAGCTATCCCAAATTTCCCAAATAAAGAAAGAAACGTACCCACGGACATAGAAAAATCTGTTGTGGAACTCAGGTTAGAACTCTGTTTCCTGGCTCCTAAACATCCTGTTTTTTCCTCCAGCACCCACCATTCCTCCCGGATACAGCATATGCACAAATGTTTTTAAAAATGCCAAGCAAAGACGAAAGGAAGAGCATGATGGGTTTTCCAAGAAGAAAAGACGGGGAGAAAGGTGGTGCAGAGAAAATAAGAACAGGAGAGCAAAAAAAGACAGACAGAAGACAAGACAGAGAGAAAAGGGTCCGTTCTGTCACAAGAGTAGTTGTCAGCTAACATCCTACTTCTCTGAGCAACAGAATTTTAGCAAGAGCAGATGCCTCCCTCCTTACAAGAGGCAGACTCTGAACTAGCCTTGCACGAAACTTATCAAGATTACTGTGCCTACAGCATTATCCTGGAGCTTGCTCTTTGGTATTTGTTTTTGCAGCAGGAATTTCACGCTGTCGACATCTTCTGGAGTTAAGTCTTCCGCAATTCCATATAGCAGTTGCCTGGCAAAAAAGGATAGCGAAAGACTGGTTAAGAAAGTTATGACGATTAAATAAAGGGTATGGGACAAACCCTTCTCATCTTCCTCTCCCAAATACCCACAAGCACCTGAAATATACCTGATAACAGCTCCAATCATTTCTAGGTAGAATACCCATCAATGCATTAAGGTCATCTAAGAAGAGCGTCATACAGTAAACACAGTTAGTAGCAACAAGGGAGACACTATGTTTAGGAGCACTCTTCTCAAAACATGATATAGTCTGGCTCACAATCATCACACAGTTAATTTAAGGAAAGACTGGATTCTCTCTGTGGTTCCAGTTGTGATGTAGGTCAAACACAGTCAACCCTTCTAATACTAAATAACTCTGGGGGAAAAAAAGCTTGCTCAGAAAAATTAGGAAAACAGAGCAGCTCTGTCTGTCTCAGAACCACCACAGGCATACACTTGAACTGAAAAATATGAAACATGGTCTCAAAACTCAGAAGGGCTGACAGTCATGCTGTAATAAATACAGTTACACTGAGATATGCATAAGATGACAGCGGAGACAGAAAGCAAGAAAGATGGCACACAACAGAACCATTCTGCGCGAACCTTCTCCTTGCAAAGGTTTACTACTGCTGTGCTTACCTGTAGGCTGACACCTTTGCCTTGCCTGGGATCTGAAGCTCCCTCTCCATCTCCTCTCGGCTGGAGAGCAGGAGTTTACCCAGGATGTCCATGCGATTGATCCGGTAGATCAGCTCCTTCAGGAAGGCCAGATTCCCCACCTCGATCAGGCCTTTCTCCTGCAGCGCTTGGAAGAAGGCCTTGGGCTCCTGAATGGCTTCCTGCTTCCTCAAGGGGATGTGCTCCAGGCTGAGGAACTTGAGAGCTGCCAGGTCATCCTCGACCAGTGCCTCAGAAACGCGAAAAAGGAGTTTGTGGATATTTGTGCTCATTTTCCATCAGGATTTGGATCTAAACAGAGAGAAGTTAACTGGGTTTGTCAGTTAACTAGTGCAAAAGCATGATTATAAAAGGTATTGTATCATGTAGAATAGCCCAGAATAAATATATACAGTCAAAAATACTTCACTAGAAAGAGGATATCCTGCTATCATAGTTTTGAGGCTTAGCTCTTTCAGTTCACCAGACTTGGAAGGAGCACAAGAAAGTCTTAACATAAGTGAAATTGACAGAGAAAGTCGCAGATCTGTCTTGCTTTCTATGGTGCGTGCAGACAGCAGGGTGACAAAGGTACAGGGTGTGCAGTCCTTGGCAGATTGCAGATGGCTCCATCCACCTGGCTTCTCTTCCCTAGGGCTGCCAGTTTTTCTTTGTCTCCCCTCCCCGAGATGTGATCCAATTTGGGAGCAAGAGAAATCTACAGTCTCCAAAGTTTTATAGTGGCCATAGAGTAAACCAGATCCCCAGGTTTTGTGCCATACCAAAGATAAGGGCCTGCATTATTAAAACTTTTCTAAACGACATAGCTTCTGCTTTCCTTAGGCATTGCTTCTGACCCAGATCCATGTAACCAATACACCTCTTTTTGTTTTGGTTTGTCTGCATCAAGTAAAACCCAGTTCCGAGTTCTCAGCTGATTAATTCCTTGCCTGTAATAATCAAATCAAACAGAGATTGTGTCAACCCTTTTAAAAATGCCAGGATTCTTGTCACACCACTTCCTTTTCACTGAGCATCAAATACACCCCTCTCCACCACACCCTCCATCAACATTAGAAATCTTAACCTTGGCTTATGGATCCACTTCTTGAGCATAAGAAAAAGTTTGAAAATACAAAGTGCACGCCTCCTATGCTATCTCACTCTGATACTTCGCCTGCCCTCACTGTAAGAGGCCCAGCTGGGGCTCTCTTCTCTCTGCCTCAGAGAAGAAATCTCTGAAATGAAACTGCATAGGGATGCATTTGGTGGAGGTCTCCTGTCTCACCGAATTCACTGGGAGACTGAAAAGTTAACGACAAATCAAGTCATGAAAGCAAAACTTCCTGATCCTACATTAGCAGAATAGTAGGCAATCTGTTCTACTGTTATTGGACGCTGCACTTGTATTAATACTAGGGCTAACAACTCCCAAGTAGTCCGGCTGACTGCTAACTAAATTAGTATTACTGTAAATGCTCCAGACAGTTAGCAAACACTCGCACTCCACCCTCACCCAAGGGCCATGTCGCAGCAGAGCACCCCTTGGAGGGCACATTCCAGTCAGCATTCTTAGTGAGCAGGAGCAAACAGACAATAGAAGCCTAAACCTTGGTCTAGCCAGAAACAAAGCGAAAGAGCAAAACAGTCTCCGTGATGCAGCACGCATGATTCAAGCTCTGCCCACAAATATTGCTTCCTTTAAATCCATTCAAAATGAACTCTTAAACAGACAAGAATCTGTATCATTCAGCCGAAACCAACACAAAACCACTGATATCTGAATGAATCATACGTGCTTAATCTCATGACTCAATGATTTCAGGTATCTGAATGTATATTTTTATATCCACACAGGAAAGAGTATACTTTCTTTGTGGCTAATTATGAAGTTACCTTCTTTCTCACCTATACTACGCCTTCAGTTTAAGATACAAGGCGTGCGCTCACGACAGTGAATCTTCCTGGTACAAGAAATTTTCTTTTTCACTTTTGAAAAGCTGTAAATTTCAAAAACACAAGATTACCGCAATTAGAACAGCTGTGCCACCTACACACCGTATTTAAGCCTGTCTGTAAATACAGGGAGCACACTAAAACAAAATTTAACTACTTTTTTATCTTCTTCTACCACTTTACTAAAACAAAGATGCAACTGATGCAAATATAACAAGCAAACTCTTTTACCACATTAAAAATAATTAATTTTACTTCACTTACATGGAAAAGACAAGCTGAAGGACCGCCGAAATAACTCTGAAAAAAGTGAAAGGACAGCTGTGAGCTCTAAAGTTCCAGGAAAAGTACTGGCTTTTCCTGATATGCCTATATTGTCACATGACTTACAGAAAAGTAACGTATGCCAGAGCAATAAGCTGAGATCTTAACGCCAGAGTTCCCTACCCAACTTGTCACTGCTCCAGTTTCAGCAAATGAACTCCTACAGTGCTTGTGATAAAAATGGCTAAACAGTCCACTGTCCTGTGGCATCACTAGATCCTCCATGTCCTACCCTTTCTCTAAGTCCCTCTCCAATTCACCTAGCCCATTTCTAACATGCATTTTAATGGAAGACTATTTCCTAAATGAAAAAAGTGAACTATCAGCGCCAGCTTCAGTAGCAGTACTCAGTAAATACAAGGAACTGAAAGTCTAAACACTACGTTGTAACTATTTACTTGGTATACCTCCCTTTTTACAAAATAATTTAAGCAACATTTAACTTTTGACATTTTTAGCCACTTTGAAGCATATAACTCTGCCTTCAACGGCAAGATACCCAGTATCCTCTACTGGTCACTGATATTCTTCCTGCAGCAGGAAATATATAAATAGTTATCAGTATACCTATGAGACTTCCCCATCCAAGGCCAAAGCTCAGGAAGTCAGCATTATGTAGTGACGCAGTTAGGAGAACTGAAACCTGTTGGAACTTTGCAATGAAAATAATATTTAACTGATTTCAACCTGTCTACCTTTATAAACTCAAAATTATAACACATCCTCTGATACAATGAGGCATACACAAAAAGGCCGGCAAATTCCTCCCAAAAGGCACACTCCCACTCTATGATTACAGCTCAGAAAAGGCATTTGACTTAACTTCACTGATATGAGTCTTTTTATTCAAAGGCAACAACAGCACAGAGAGACACCAGAAGCACTCCTACCTGATCGTCAGGAACAAAACAGTTCTTTCTCCATGTCAACCCATGCCTCAGCACCTGTCTCCCTGTACCAGTTCCCCTCTGTCTCAACCAAAATCAAGACTCCACTTGCAGGATGGAAGAGGAAACACACAGGTGTTTCAGTACCACATGAAAAATACTTACAGACAGGACCAGCCCTAGGCTGGCTCTTGACGAGTACAGGCTTCTCCCAACACGCAGCAGCTCCAAAGACCAGCCCTCCCAGCACTGTTCTTCCTTTTTTGTCTTTGTTTCACTTCTCATTGCTTCCTCCTTGTCCTTTTCTGAAATGTTCCTGTTTCTCTGTTAATTTGGAGTATCTCCACTTCCCCCCTTCTCCTTCACCCTAGTTTCGTCCCTCTGGCTACCCGTAGAACCTTCTCAGTGACCCAATCAATTCCTTGTAAGCAGCCTGCCAAAAATTCTCTCCCTGAAAGGGTGTGCTTCGGAAAGGGAAAATGCTGAGGCTAGTGACTACTCAGCAACTGGAGCGACTGAGGCCTCTACTGGTTCAGCCAGAATAAACAGCTCCTGCACAAAAATTGGCAGGCAGTGGGGACAGCATAACAGAGACTTGGTGAACATTACAGATCCTGCTTTAAGATCACCATCTGCCCAGGATACAAATTCCACAACAGGAAGACACTTTTTACACTGGTTCCACTTAAATCTGTCTAAACAAGAGTTGAACAAGTGGCAACCACTCTTTAGTTCCGTAGGTTGAGCACACGCATATGCACATATGCCTCTCTATGCCACCAATAAACCCTGACAGAAGCCAACCACCATTTTTTCGGTTTTAGGCTGATTTCTCTCTAGCACAGCTCTGTGTTACTAGAGTTACACTGAAGGAGTGCAGCAAGCACTAATGAACATCCACGTTGGGTAAAACCTACTCACTTTTCCTCAAGACTGCTATCCTACAATACACCACAGGAGGTCACATGGACACTTCCAACAACCTTGCTGAATGGCAACCACAGTCACCTGCCTGTGGGCTTGAACTGACACAAGAGTACCACGTGTGCATCCAAGTATTAGAGTGCACAGCCATACAAACAAAGCTCTTAATGCATACAAGCAAAATAGTCTCAGTGAACAGTATAAACCATAGCAGAGCAACCTGTGTTTGGAACAAGCCATATTATGGGTGAGGAAAACTTCACTATTCCACAGGCATAGGCCCTCTCCTAGGGAACTCAAGGCAGAAGTCGATCTAGACTCTTCTGACTAAAAAGGTAGGCTATTACCTACCTTTATCATTTAACTGGAGACTACCCAGACAGAAGCTCTCCAGAGAGAGTAGGAGAACATGATGATTTTGTTTACTACGCTTACAAATGAAACTAGGACTCCCCGAAACAATGCCAAAATGTTTGCCTATGTTTACTCCATACTGATAAAACTTCAGTTGTTATCTAAATGTACAAAAAACAGTGCAACACGTCCCAACAGTAGCTGCAAGCCAGATGCTTGCTGATTCTAATAGATGTGACATAGTCTACTAACAGATGCAACAGATTTTCTGCCTGTGCCACAAATGTGACTTCAAGTATGGTATTAAGAAGGCTCAAAAGGGTCACAAAACTGTCAATTTATGGTAAAAAGTGACTGCTACAGTTTTGGCAAATTAGTTGTAATTTAATGCTCTGGACGATGCAAAACCCTCTTCCTAAAAATCTTGGATAGTACAAACTAAAAATTGCTTTCACCAACATTTGATGGTACTCTCTTTCAAATCCTAATCCTAAGTTTGGAGCTGTTTTAGGACTAGCAAGTACAGATAACAGTCAGTGTTTTGCTGAAATAAATCAAGTTTCACTTCTGTTTAAACTCTGAGGCAGCTCAAACCCCACCGATTAATGCAGCCCAACACCGTCACAGGGGCCAGTTACAAACCGGGATAAACCTTAGCCCAGTATACCATTTTTATCTCCCCAAACCCTTAAAGAGATGTATAAATTTAATGCAATAACGAACAGGAAGGACATGGACACACATAGTAAATGCAAATGCTCATAACAAAACAACATGACATTCTCTCAGTTAAACTCAAACACGCTTGATCAACAAGGACCCTTTTCTCCCATATGGCTGCAGTTTAGGTCTTAAAACAAGAAATGACTTATCAGAACTTTTAATGCTTACAAAGGTAATTAATCCGATAAACCTATACAGATACACTACTGAGTGCTGTGTTTCACAGTGAACAACTCTTCTACCTTAACTTTTCTTCCCAAAAGTGACGAGGAAATGATAGTTTGCAAGGTGGTTTCACAGAAGGAATACTATACTGCATTTTTGCAATGCAGTTTTTTCCAATTTTGTAAAGAATTTCATTGCACAGGAGGTTCGTGGTAACTGTTGGAAGACATCACCGCACACGGTGAACAAAACTGCTGACTGCAATAGTTAATCGGCTCCCCCATACAATTAAAAATAATTTAAATTAGAGAGGGAAGAAATCCTTCTCCACCTACTATTTAAGCTTTCTCCCCTACTACATTCCCACCTTGGTCTTTTCTCTCTGTAAGACTCTTACGCAGAGTTAGTGGTCTTAGAGGCAGGATTTGACATTTTTAGCATGTAAAATAAAACATGATGAGCCTAAACCAGACTATTAACATTCTGGTTTAGACAGAGAAGGCTACATGCAACCCTTATGCTGACACAAAAGTACTTACATAGCTATAGTCTGCACAAGTACAAAAAACATTTAACACGATAGAAGCATGCTTCTGCAAGTGGCCATCCCAACCCTAATTACTCTGAAAATAGAGATAATGTGAACAGCTGGCACATGGATTGTGTTAATTATGTCTCTTTAGGTTTCACATTTTGTTCTGCAAACATTTATGAGGCCTTGCCTTGAAGCTAGCTGTCCTCAGGAGTCTGGGTAACTGACTTAACTAGGTAGCGTGGTGAATTGCATTTAAATGAGATGTGCCCATGAAAGGATGTATTCAGAAAGCCTCAGTGTTGCTGTGAGGGAGGAGGGTCTCTAGGCACCGGGAATATAAATTTTCTTCTTAAGGTATAAGCTGGCTGGGGCATCTGCTTCTTTGTTCCCAAGCTGTCAGCACGCCTGCTCACATCGTCATTAACTTCTGTAAGAATGGACAAAATATCTTCACCCCTGCAGACAGAAAGCAAGCAAACAGAAAAACTGATTTATTAATGAGCAGGTGGCACTTGCTTCTCTATCTAACACCTCCTAGAGCACCTAGGAGATACAGTCTAAACATTTGAAAGACAGACGGAAGAAAACAGGCCCTTTTCTCCAAAATTCTCTTCTTGTGTTCTCATTTAGGTCATATTAAAAACAAGAGACCTTTTCTTACCTTAAATTGCTTGATTCAATCAGCAGGGAAAACAAAAGAAAGAAAGAATTTTTTTTTACCTAAACCCACTCAAGAAAGAGATGGTTGTGTCTAACAGGCAGAGCGGAGGTTTAGAGATTTTGAGTTTTTAAATTAAACTTCACATTCTCTAGACTGTCTCTACAGTACTAGCAGCGTTAACATAAATTTACCAGAACCAGGCAAACAAATCATCAGCTTAACTAAGTTTGTCCAACTCAGAGCGTGGCTTAGCTTTCCTATTTGAATTTGCCTTTGAAGAGTTAAAAAAAAAAAAAAGGGAGGGGAGGTGGGGGTTCTTCCTATTTCTTCAATGAAGAGCTAAGTAGAGTAGTCAAATATTTACCTGGGTACTAACAGCTGTAGCTTACTGCACAGGGCCTGAATATACCAAGTCCCCTGTTGAACATGCCGGAAAGAGGCGTAGCCGTCGGTTGTGGCCATGCCTAGGAGGAAATCAGCTTCTTCAGGAATACTTTCAGAAGGAGAAATTCTCTGTTGCATAGAAGACAAGTCAGGAATTTGTGCATCAGGTTCAACACAGACAGCACGCTGTATCTCTTTACCTTGACATGCCTGAATAAAAAAGAGTTTGGGCTTTTCAGCAAGCGCTGGACATTGTTGGGCAGTGAAGTAGGACATGATCGTGCGGATTGATACACGCTCCCCATCTGTCCCATAGATTGCTCCTGACTCTCCATGAGATAGAATACAGCAAATAAAACAGTCCCTGTCTTTGTGATCTTCCAAATTCTGCCAAGCCTGCATGAGATCTTTAATTTGCTCAGATGTTAGATCTCTGTGAATCGTCACGTCAAGACCAAGCCACGTGAATACTTGATTCAGTTCCTCTGTAATTAAAAGAAAGATAAAAATATAAAACTGGGGCAGCAGAAAAACATTTTATGAAGTTACCATGCAAGCAAATCTAAACTGCAGAAGAACCTCCCACTTCATGCTTCTGCAGATTCATCCTTGTCCTAGTATCAACTAAAGGTTAGCGGGAATAAAGATGGAATCAGCTTAAACACAAGAGTCCTTGAATTTTTCTCAACAAGTTTCAGAAAATAAGACCTAAGGCACTTTCTTAACTCTGTGACAGGTGCAATGCGTACAATGTCACGCTAAGTGAGCTCATGAATGACACCTGGAAATACGAGGAGTCTCACCAGAGTTCCAGATTAGATTTCTTTCAGAATCTTCCTCAAGTCATTATTTTCCAATTGCAGTTACGACTGCTGCAGAGTTTCATTAGCAAGACAGATAGAACAAAACCAATCAATGAAAACCTATACACAGAAGTGCTGGTATAAGCAATTTTGGATTATATTATGTAGAATGGTGGCTTAGTTTTCGTTCTTTATTACAGCTATAGATCCAGACTGAATGAGAAAAAGGGATTCTTAACATGATTCAAGAATGATCCAACTGCACGGCAAGTTCGGTGTTTACTCATCTTTTAGTCCTTCCCCCTCTAGGATACACAAGCGACACTCATCAGAAACCTTTACCATTTAAGAATATTAACTAAAATATGGACAATAAGACACAGAGCAAAGAGAGAATCAACTCATGAAGGGGAAACAGAGAGGCTAACATACCAAAAAAAAAAAAAACAAAAAACCCTCACGTCAGTAACTTACCAGCATCTTTGCAAGAACCCTTTCTCTCCTGAAGATCCCCATCAAATTTAACATTATTAATAACAAGACAAAATCCTCTCTGTGGTCCATCCATTTTGTAGCTTGTCAAATTCTGTAGAAAGGAAAGAGGAAAAAAAGCTTATAGCTTCAATGAATATATTCAGCACTGAAGAAGTGATGAATGTCTGATCTCCAGCAATCCTATTTCCTTCACATGTCTCGAAATGGGCATCCAAAATTAGAGGCACCTTAAATTGAGGTTACTTTTGAAAAGTTGGAACTCAGTGGCGTCTCCTTGTGTGAAAAGACACAGGTGAAGCCCCAAGCAAGCACACTATGTCACCATATTCTCAAACTGCAGAGCAAAGGTTTAGCAACTGCAAAAATACCATTTAATTCATCAATTAAACTCTGCAATCTGAACAGGCATTGGGAATAACAGTGTCCAGCTGCTTCTGAGGCCAGGAACGGCTTTTGACTCCAGGCAGTAGAGGGGTCACACTGACACTACGGCATGTTAGACATCTCAGTTTATTTGTCAGAGTACAGTAGTGAGGAGTACCTGGAGTGGGTGGTTCATACCGATCCACTGAAAAGGGATGCGAACAGAACAGAGATCTCAGAAGTGCTGAATCCTGTGACAGTACCAGGTTTGCCAAGGTGTAAAGTTACCTCCCACTCTTCAGTAAGAATGTTTTAAAAACTGAGAAGTCACCAAAACGTCAAGTACCATCCTTTCAAATCCAACCTCAGGTTAACAGCAGCAAGTCCATTCTAATAACAGACACTCCAGCTCCTCTCCTCTCACTAGAGAGAGCAACAAAAAAACACCTAATTTTGTGCATTTTAGTGGAACCAAATGAAGGGCAGCTTTCCAAGCTCCTTCAACAGCAGCAAACAGTACTTTTGCTACAGCAGTCTGGACATCAGTAAAAAAAAGGACAAACAAGGCTTCTAAGAAGGGATCACACAAAAGGGAGCTTCATCTGAACCAAGACCTCCGGATTGTTATGACAGTCATATGCCTGCAGAACACACTTGCCTTCTTTCATCTTCCTTACAAGGTCTTTGCATGCTATCCCTTATCCTTTTTTAATTTTAGGATACCCTGAAGCTTTTCCTAAGTCAGATATAGAGAGGGAGAGAACTGCTAAGCTACATTCATCCATGCCCACCTGCATATTCTGCTGCCATGTCCAAAACATGCAACTTAAGATAATGCCAAATGATTTGCCTGCATCAGGAGGATTAGCAGATGCACTGATGTGTGGATAGCATTAGAGACATTATGCCTGTTTCCCCTCCACCACACCTTTCAATATTGGTAAGCTTCTGGCCTCCAAAATTAAAATACGCTCTGAAATATTCCAATTGATCAGACTGCTTAAAAGGCTCACTGAGACCCACAAACATCTCACAAGTCCTTGCATGATAAACGTCATTACAGGCACGAAGACTTCACACCTTCAGCTATTCGAAAAGAAGGATGAGATTGTCGCAAACCTTGGATTCATTCTCTGCATTGATGAACTTTGCACGCAGCTCCAAGTTCATTTCAGAGACGCCTTGTATAACATTAGCTGCTTTGTCACCTAGGAAAAAAAAAACAGAACAGGTATTTATTTATAAGGAGAAAACTAACACCGGTGGATGCAGCAAAGAGTTCAGCCACAGTGCAGCACTTCTTGTATTTTAAATGCTATTACACGAAAGGAATGATTCCTCTGTATGAGACAGCACTATCCTGTTCAAAGGATCTACTCGGGCCATGTCTCCAGTAATTTTTGGTATATTCTTTCGTGACAGAAGTAAGGTTTCTGTTTATACTGGTTCTGTGGAACAGAGATATCTATAGTACAAGGACACTCTACCTGAGACATTCAAATGAATTTTTCAATTGGAAATCAGCACAGAAATCAACTGCACTGTAAGAACAATCTAAGACGTTACTACTGAAATTCCCATTACAGAATCCTCTTTTGTTCCTGAATCGTTTACAATAGCTCTCAGACAAACTTTCAGAAGAAGTTTGCACTGATGGAGCTAGAAAGCAAAAAAGAGCTGATGTTCTGTTGCTGCACTTTGCAGCTGTCCAATCTGATGTGGAGTCACAAAGATGGACGCAAAACATCTGCTGCCATTTTAAGGAATCCTTCTAGAGATACGATCCAAAATACAATTTTATTTATTGGTGAAGGAAATATTTTTCCCTCTGACTGGCCTAAAACTCTTGCTTCCTCCTGTACAAAAGCATTCACTATTTAATGCATTCAAAACACCCGTATCTACTACCCAGCACCTGAAAACTCTTAGCTGGTAATCTCAGTAACTTCACTTACTCCAGTAAGCTACTGGAAGATGTGCAAACATTAACCTTAATATATTTATGTTCTCTATAGTGGGTAAAGGTGCCAGGAACAGAAGCAATTTTTGTTTTGTTTGCCTCTTTATGTCCTCAGAGCTATTTTCTGCTTATTTAAACAGTCATTCTGGCAACGCCTGGGAAGAGCAGGCATAGGTCTTCCTGATGTCTACCGTGGTGAGAGAACTGGAATAAAAAGACAAGAAGCCATCCTGCTTCCAGGGCATTTTCTCATTTCCTCTGTAACAGTCCCTTGCAAAAAGGGCCACAAGAACCGACTTGGCCCCTTTAAATAACATACTACATTTCAGGCAGCCCAAAATAAAAATAGCTTAATATGAAAGCCCTAAGAGAAGACAAACCTGGTCTGATAGGTATGGGGCGCACATTCCCAACATGCTCCCATAGGCTCCCAGGCTCTCCACCATAATGATCTACATAGCAAAAGAAGCCAGAGGTAAAATGCTTTCCTGCACACAAAGAATTAACATTTGAGGTTTATAAACAGTCACAGCGTCCCCATTCTCTTACCCTTCCAGGGATGTTCAAACAGAAAACTTATTTTCAATCCTCAGGAAAGAAAGCAGCTTTTTACTTCTGATCAGACCAGCCCTTATTTCAGTTCCCAAAAAGCACATTAGTTAGTTTCTAGTTAATGACTGACAAAGTACACGGGATTTGCCAACTGTCTCTTTTATATAAGAATAGGTGTCTTTCAAATCAGTTTGTGCAGGAAGCAAGAGACCCTTCCAATAAGACTGCAAGGTAACTGTACTACATTAAATAAAATGTTAGAAATTTCCCAGAGTAAGTCAAGACAGTTAGCACTATGTAACATTAAATATAATGATATTAAAAAAACAAAACAGAACAAATAAAACTTTCCAGAAAGCCTTACCATTAATATTAGAACTGACAGCTTTGACAGAGGTCTCCTATTTTTCGGGTGGAGGAAAAAAATCTAGGTTAAAAATCACTGTATATATAATAATTTTTTCACAACGATAGGCAAAACAAACTCAATAAACACCAAAGCTGCTTGAGTAGCGGGAGGAAAAATACTGAATTCCTAAGAGTAGCAAAGCATTTAACAATGAACTACAAATGACTTCCCCATTTAAAGTAAATCTCATGGAGCTGGAAACAACTGTATTTTCTCTTAAGGAGAAAGGGAAATCACAAAGAACTTTCTTTCACTTCCAAATGGTCTTCTCACTACAAGGGGTGGGGAGTCACTATAAACAAAATAAAGGTCTAATATAGTCCAATATCAATTCTCTTGGATGGTCAATTATTTGATTCTAACTCATTGTACCTAATGATTCTAGTCCTGCCTAAGTGACCTCTTCCGGCAGTAAGTGTCAATGGTTTATTATCCAGCACGGAAAAACTGTATAATATTTCATCATTTTTGTTAGGTGAGCCTGTCAGGAAAATCAAACAGGATCACAGAAATAGGTGTGGGTGTTTTTTGGGGGTTTTTTGTTTGTTTTTTGTTTTTTAAAAAAACGTACATTTTCTTAATACAACTGCATTCATTTTCTGGCCATGCCAAGTGCCATGTGTGAAAGCTTCCCCAAATCCTCTATACACGTAGAGCTAGTATACCTCAAGCAGCAGTAATACAAGCCCTTCTGACACTAAATAGCCCATTTTCCTTAGCTCTTGTCTACTGAGACTGTACTTCTTAGAAGTATCTTCAGGAAGATCACTGGCTTTACTCATTTAGAACTGATATGGGTATAACTTCCTCCCTTCCTCTCCTTTTCCCAAAAAAGAGATTAGTTATAGCCCAAGTAAGTTCCCCAATCTGATTCATCACGCAGCTGAAGGAAGACCCATGATCAAGGGCTGGGTACAGTTAAGACCACTTCCTTTAGCAGCAGCAGCTCGAACTGACCTTCAGACTATGGTAGGTAGCCTTTGGTGGCAGTTCAGTGACAATTGTCTGAAACTTTAAAAATCAGCAGCAGCTGACTGACCTATTCTCTAGAATGCACCTTTCTAACCTTCTCTCTCACTTCTCTTCCTAACATCGTTTTTTTTCCCCAGTTGCACACGACCAGCAGTAGTATTTTTGACTTCTATTATTTGACGCTATCTACTGTTATCTCTTACAAGCTGAAGGAATATGTTTGCTCCCTTCCTAAATCAGGTAAGATTTAGCAAAAGATCTCACAGACAGTTTGGTTTCAAAATAAAGGCAAGAAAAAAAACAATCCCCCAAATAAGTAAAACCCAAGTAGGCAGCATGCACTCCAGTGTACCTGTGGGGAAGTGAACAGTCTGGTATCTCCAGTGTGAGGCAGCACAGATTCCTTGACTGGCAGAGTGTTCTCTTGCTGCGGTAGAGACACTAAAAGCAGACAATAAATGAGAGAAGTCAAGTGCCTTTCAGTTAAACCAGTATGAATTTGCACATGAAGGCAAACGTGGATCTACACTTAGAGAGAGATGCATTAAAAAAGAAAGCCACTTTGAAACATGCTCAGGAAGTGTGGGGAACTGAACTCATAAAGCACTGAGTGACCTTGCACCCACTGGAGAGAAGTAGCTTTGCACTTCCCTGAATTTATTTCCCAGTGATTAAATAAATGAAACTAGAACCTTTTCCCAGTATGTTTATAATTACTCTACAGGACTTTACATGGAATAAGTTCACAAACTACAGGCTAACCCCCTACAACCTGAACCACTTAATTAATAAAAACTTATCCATGTATCAGATACACATGCACACATACCTTGCCTTACCAACTCATTAGCAAACACAACTCCCTTGAGCAACTTAAAATACAGTAGTGTACCTCTGTAAATTAGAAAGTACCTTTTGCAGTATAGTAGCACGTCCTTACTGGAACTCAGCTAGGAGGCAATGCAAGCTAAAGACAGCTATGCTAAACCTGTGTGTGAAGGTGCTGAGTGATCCCACTCTAGTTTCTGCTGCAGCAGTGCACACATAGGATGTCCAGGTGCCAGCTTCAGTTGCCCAGACCCTTCCAGAGCTTCCTGCCTCTTAGCAAACCTGTGCTCTGACTCTGAATTTCTCACCTTTTTCCCTTTTATAGCTGCTTATTGCTTCCAAGAGATCAGGTGAAACACTCATACAGAGTTCCTCCAGCACTTGTACATTATTTTCAGTTAAAAGACCCTGTTTTTCCAATAAAATCAGCAACTCCAGAGCAGACTGACAGAAAAAAGAGAGAGTAAAATGCACTTATTGTTTCTTAGAACTTAAAACCACGGGTCTCGACCCTCTCTGCCTCATATAATTACATTATCATCTGCTTTGCTTCTTGCCAACAAGTTCCGAACAGTCAATTTTACATAGCCAGGTGACAGGGGAAATGTTGCACCATGGAAAGCTACTGACTGAATTACAACTTGGTATGTTCTTGCTTCAACAGATTTACCCAAACTACATTAATGAATTCTGGCCCTGAGAAGGCTTTATCGCTGTGAAACAGTACCAACGACATATGGGCATAAATGTCCTCTGTTCATGGCTCAAGCAGGAAAAAAAAAAAAAAAGATTGATATGTCACCTTGTTGTGGTCTAATGCAAGAGAGTAGACCATCCACGACTGTCCTTGGCACAAAGCAGAACCAAGTTCCACTCTAATCCTGCCATCAGCTTCCTCCTTGCTAACTCTATAAAACATCCATCAGCCTAGTTGCAATTACGCCTTATTCTGGCAAAGATTCTCTTCTCCGTGCTCTTCCGTGCCCCCATCTTCCCTCCATACTATATATACGTTTGTCTCTCTCCCTACATACAATAGTTGTCTGTCGCTTTGGTAGCTGGTTCCTCAGGAGGAATATGATTTCCTTTAACATCTCGCTGGTAACGTTCTCTGCCAATTCATACAGCATCTGCCTGTAACAGAGACCCAGTGAGATCAAAGTAGAACAGAAGAGGGTGTAGAAACACAACGCAATCTGAGAATTTAAAAACTGAAAGGGAAATAGCAGGCAACAGATGGCAGCAATGCAGCTAACAGAATCCCATTGGAAGCTCACCTGTATGAAGACACTCTTCCCTTCTCAGGCAGATATTCTTGCACTCTCTCCTTGGTATAGCCAAGTTTTTTGAGCAAGAAGTGACATTTAATTCTGTATAAGAGCTCAGCTAGTAGGAAAGTATCCTCCTCACTCAGATACTCTTCAGCCATAAGAAACTGAAAGATGTCCAGTGCTGACTGCACACTTTCCAATTTTTTGAAGGGGATCAGGTCAATGCAGAGAAATTTTAAAGCTGCTACATCTTCGGTACCCAGGTTTTCTTCAATGAGTAGAAGCTGCTGACGGAATTTCAAGCTGATATCATCCCCCATGTTGCTGGGGATGCTCTCTGCCTGAAAGCAGAAAGCAAACATTGTAACACTGTAGTCTTCAGTACAAGAATCCTTGAAATAAGGATTTCATCCAACACCTATTTGGAAGCCCTGAATACTCTGCAGAAGAGCAATTTCTTTTTGAATCCATTTGAAATGTACTTCCTTCTCCAAGCAAACAAATGCATCAGAGAGTAGATTTGGCAGAAGCTCTGAACAACCCAGTCTACCCTTGAAGTTAGCCCTGCTTTGAGCAGAAAGCGGAGTTAGATGACCTCAAGAGGTTCCTTCTTCCAACCTAAATTCCTCTATATCCTTCCATCAACTTTCATGTTCAGAGGAAGGAGTTCCCAACTACTTTCTGCCTCACAACTGCAGCTTTGTTCCTCTACATTGTCTGTGGCTGCAAAGAGTCCCTGCAGTAACTCTATTATAGCTCTTAGTGGAGAGGGGGCAGTGGTAAAATCACACATGTTCCTTGATCTGCAGTCTGAGGACTCTGCTGATTTTTGGCTGCAGCAGGCAGGCGCTCCTCTGTTTCAAGTCTGATATCCAAGCTGAAACTGTAAATAACCATCCACTCACAGTCATACCCTGCCACCAGATTGCGTCTTGCATTTCGCACAAGAAAAGCCTAAGACCTCCCTTATGAGAGTGTCTAATAAAACGTGATAAGAAATCAATCTAAAAGGACTCTGTACAAGCAACTCAACGTTATTGAAGCGTAACAGAAACTAATCACGCTTCTGCTAAACCAACTTCCTCCAGGTAGCTTAGGCAGGTCTTTTCTGCTGGAGTGAGGTTACATAGGGAAACTTGTTTTGATTGGTAAGAAAGTGCTTCTGAAGTTCTCTGCCCAAAGAGTCAGGGAGGTCCTTAACCCTCCATTAAGTGCAGCTGGAAGTAGCAAAGCTCTCTGCATGAAGGAGCAGCAGAAAAAAAAACCCAGAGAAGTAGGGGTATGGACAGAAACTCTGAATCCAAAGCCTTTGAAGCATGTGGGAAGACTGGTCAGCAGATAAACCACAAAGGTTATCATAGCATGTGGGGAGCACAAGGAAGACACTGTGGCAGTTTTGTGTTCAAGGGCACATAAGAAATATTATCCCAACTCCTGAAACCCAGTGAAGGATACAAGCACCATTTCATATTTCAACAACAGGTTTGACAGAACCCAGGAATCCTGAATTCTGTATTGGCCCTGTGTCACAAGTCAGAGACTGTGCAAGAAAAAAAGGTCGTATTGTTTTTGCCTGTATTCAAGCTTACTCTCCCATAGCTTACTAATTCCGTAACTCACATTGTTTCTCTCCTCAAATGAAATCCTGCGTATTGTGACACCTTATTCACTGAAGAAACACGCTGCTATCAAAAAGGCTCAGATCTCAGTCATCTATCTACGCAGAGAAATCGTATCACTTCACATTAAATCAGGCTTTAAATCAATTTAGCTAAACTAGTTTCAAACCCTATCTAGATGCTTTAGTCAACTAAATTTAGCAGAATAATTTAGCTTAAGTTGATTCCTGTCTAATAAGCCTATATACACCAGATTCAAACTGCATTTGTGTCTATTCAGAGTTTGGAGACAATGACTTCAACTAAACTAGTTTAAAAATCATAGCTTTAGAGGAACAGGGAAAAGCTGTGCGTAGGTCAAGCGTAAGTACTCATTTCACCAGAAATCAAACCGAAAGAAGATCCAGCACCAATTCCTTCATCTATCTTTAAAATAGTTTTAAAATGTGCATTCCAGTCACCTTTGGAAAGCTTTTCCATCAAAACCCTTCCTGCTTGAGTTCCAAATAACCTCAAGGCCACCCAATCTGCGCTGTGTTTACTAGCCATGACCTCTCTTCCTTCCCCCCCTGTACTGAGAGCAGACCGGACTGTTGCTGATTCCTAGCTCTACTGTGAGAGGAGGTTCCGCGGACTTACAGCCTGATCCAGTGTTCACCTTACTGTTACTGGGTTTCTGGAACAGTCTATGACTTCATGCGTTTCACAGGCAGGTTTTAAAACATTGCGGTGAAAGACTCCTAAAAGCAGAGGAGGAAAAACAGCAAACACTCCCTTTTCCAGTAAAACTAGTTTGTAAAAAAAGACAAATGCTAACCACCCAGTGCTAATGCAGGGGCAGGACCTCCCTGCTCCCCAAGTTTGTCAGGGCTCACTCATTTATTTACAGACACAGCTACCAGGAGATCAGCAGGCAGACTGTCAACACACAAAAAAATGATGGATCAGCGTCTCCAATTTGTGTTTTGCAAAATATCCAATTCCTCCAGGAAGGAAAGTCACATAAAATGAGAACTGAGGATTATCAAATTATTATTTTTTTTCCCTTTAACTTGTTATTGATTGGGGTGCTGCCCAGCTTCAAGGTTTAAAACTAAAGCAAAACCACGGGGCCCTGAGGAGTGCTGGGGCCCGGCCCTCAGCCCCAAAGCAAGCCCCTCAGCCCCCGGCCGGTGAGTTTCCCAGCAGCAGCTGCACGATACCGGAAGGAAGGAAGGAAGGAAGGAAGG